CCCCAAAACCCCAAAACCCCAAAACCCCAAAACCCCTTGTCTACTTCAAGTAGTTGAAATGATTTAGTTAATCAATATTTCAGGTGTATTTATGATAACTTGATTTCTTTATGAAAGAGCTTTCTTTCATTAATTCTTTTTTGATTTCTTTAATAATTTCTGATATTCAGCTTCTAAGCTATTGTATTCAGTCTCATATTCTTCAATAACCTCGTCTTTTTTCAAGGATTCAAATTTGTAGATTTCTTTTTCATGCTCTCAGTTAGCCCATTCAGTCTATATTGATAAAATATTTGGCATACCTTAGTCTTAATAAGCATCTCTGAGTACATTTCTAATTCCTTCTCAACCTTTTCTCTTTGACTCTTCTCTTTTATAAGTGTTTGTTTATGCTCTGAAATGATATCTCTGAGGTTTGATTCAATCACCCAATGTCTCTCTTGACTTTGATTTGACTTCCCCTTAGATTTCAAAATAGATATTTGGCTTTTCATTTTCTCAATTACAACGTCTCTCTCGGAGATCTTTATATTGAGATCAGCTTTCACACTGTCAACTGCTGTATAAATTCTATTATTTTTGTGACTCAATGTCCTTCTTCACAGTCTCAAGTTCATTTTCAGATTGGTACAGCTTAGACTTGTACATTTGGGTAGTTTCTTCGTTGAATTTCTTAAGTTCATCAATAGTCTCCTGCATTGTCTTCTGCATCTTCATAGATTCTTCTTTTTCTAAAATTTAGTGATAAATTTACCTTGGGTTAGCTTTTTATTGAGATCAGCAACTTTCTCTTCTTGCTTAGTAAGTCTGATGACCTTCATAGACAGTTTATTCTTCAAATCATTGATTTTATTCTGCTTTTCCTTTATAGAGCTTTCTATTTCGTTCTTTGTTGAGAATTCAAAGGTTGATATCTCTTTACTCTTGGATTTAAGTTCCCCTTCTAATAGTTTAATGTTCCCTTCTAACGTCTTTATTTTGTTATCCTTCAACTCAAGAGTAGCATTTAGTTTTGAAATCTGGGATTGCTTTGCATCCAAAATAGTCTTGATTTGTTGAATCTCGAGAGATTTGTCTTCGAGAGCAGTTCTCATTTCCTCTTCCTTGCTCTCCAAATTATTTGCAAGCATGTTCAACTTGTCGCTAGCATTAGCATATTGGGAATTTATTAACTCCTCTGTTTTTGTTTTCAGAGTTTTATTCTCATTCAAGAGACTCTTCTGACTCTCTTCAGATACCTTCAACTGATCCTGTAGTTGAGTGATTTTATGAAATAGATCAGCCTTTTGGAGGAGAAGAGCTTCATTTTGGTTATTAGCAATTTTACAGTTATTCTTTTCTCTCTCAAACTGTTCCTTCATGACTGAATATGAGCTATCCTTTTCAATATATGATTTTTCACTTGCAATATCTCCACAGTTGGAATTCTGTCTTAAATGAGAGCTATTTGTAGTATCCTCAGACAATTTTTGGGAGCATATAGATTCACCTTCGATATCTCCAATATCTATCTTTTTGTACTTCTTTGACTTATCTTGATTTCTTGAAGTTTTTGAACCTGCATTGAGATCGATGGTATAAGTATTAACCTTAACAGGTTCATCGTTATATATACTAACTCCAGGGCACATTTCTTTCTTCTTATTTATACTGTTTCGAATAGGACTCTCTTCAAATAAGATTGAATCAAAGTTATTGTCCAGCTGCATCGACTCTTCAAAATCAAAGGGAAAACTTTCAGTTATGTTAGAGATATCATCCTGAAGGTAAGAAGTGTTGTCTAACTTCCGATTTGCAGTCTTATCCAGACTTTTCAGAATATTCTTTGAAGGACTTCCATTGCCAAGATTTGTTTTGAGCATGGACTTGACACTTAAATTTAGAGATGCATATTGCTTAAGCACATTTGCAGGTCCCATAGCTTTATGAAATTTCAAGTTAAGCTTTTGCTCGAACACCATATTTGCCTTCTCTGGTGGATAAGTCAAGTCTGCTACATTTCAAATTGCTTGAGCAATGACTTTGGCATTATTTTTACCTGACTTCAGCAAGACTTTGAAAAGGGCCTAGAAATATACGATATTAGTTACATTCTTTCTGAGAAATGCCTTCTTTGAATCTCTTATCAGAGGGATATCTATCTCAAGCTTATCTTTCTTAAACAATGACTTGGATTTATTCTTTCCTTGTTTGGGGTTGTCTAGAAAATTAGTATCAATTTGACTATTTAGCTTACCTATCTGAAGGCAAAGGCCTACACTTGCACTCTTCTTTGTTAGACTTTTCAAATTAGTTGCGTGAAACTTGAAGCAGTACTTATGGACGCTACACTAAGTTATTTTCTGTTTGTTTAACACCTTACCTTTTTGATGATTTACTAGTTATGGTATCATTCAGCCCAATCTTGGAGTGATTAAGAATAACGGTATTCATTGGCACTAGAGAAGTAAGTTAAGGTTTATTCCCTTGTCTTCAAATAAGTGAAATATTGTTGTGAAATTAATGTCTGAACTGAATTAGTTTCACTGACTATTCGTTAAACCAAAATGATGTTTTTCTTCAAAATTACTAAAGAAACAAATAGACCGTTCTCAAAAAGATTCAATTTTGAAATTTAGAGTTTGAAATATAACTCTCATGATGATTTTTAATTCTTTCATTAACAATCAATGTCTTATCTGAGTTTGCAAACTAATATTTAAATTGTAATTAATGCTTAAATGGGTCCTACAGAAGCTAATTTTTACATAAATTTAGCAGCTTGAGCCAAGAAAGAAAATCACTATAATGATTATTGAAAATATAGATATTAATCGTTCCTTTAAATGAAAAATGTGATGACTTACAATATGTTCCTTAATTAACAAAATTAATTTTATAAGTTTAACAATTCAAGTAACCGTTGGTTTTAAGGGGTTTTGGGGTTTTGGGGTTTTGGGGTTTTGGGGTTTTGTGGTTTTGGGG